ATAATTGCCTTATCTACATAAATGCATACTTAAATAAAGCTACATATTGTACAAAGAAGCGGACTGGATTTGATCTACATATACGACGACGATGAAACAACGCTGTGTATACCCATACGATAATATGTACCATTGTTTTCATCAAGCATTAAACGATAACATAGTCAAGTAAGCGTCTCTATTCCTGTGAGTAGATATGTTATATATTTGTTTTGTCATTTATATAAAAATAACTTAAAAATTAATATATCACCACCCCACACGTATGAAAAACATAGCGCAAAAAATAATTTAGTGAATGGTGGAGATTTCACCTCTTTTTTCACCTGTTTTTTCACCCTAGCCGCCAAAGCGGCTCTGACCCTTTGGGTCTCTGTTGAACTTCATTGTTTATAACTCTCTTCCTTTCTCCAACTTTCTAACTTACTTCCTAAGTTCAGCAATGTTGTCCTCATGAAGAGTTTAATTCTTCTCAAAAATTCCTTCTTTAATCTAATGTTCTGCTTTATCATTACTAAACTGACTCACCATCCCTTCATAGTATGAATGGTAAAAACCTTCTGGATAATAGTTCCTGAATTTAATGTATTCTACCAAAACTTTTTGTTTCATCCTCAGTGCTTTTATTTGTTTCATATTCAATCGAAAATAAAAATGTTTCAATATTTAAATAAAATAACGTTATTTTTTTCGTTAAGGAAACGCAGGAGTTTTACGCATTTATTAGGAAGGGAGTATAGTTCTGTGTGTAAATTTTGGAGGCGGTTTTGTGAGTTGACTTTGAAACAGGAGTTTGTAGATTCCATAGATCTCTAATTAGTTGTGGCAGAAACTAAAACCCTCAACGAAAGAATTGGTGAAAACATGATTGATTTACATAACTACCTCAAACACGATGGAGGAAGAGGAAGGAAAACTGGTATGGCTTTATTAGTAAATAAAATATCAAATTTAACGATTATAGATGTTGATATCAATAAATCATACAATGATGAACTTAAAGAAACAGTTAGAAAAGACATTCTATCAAAACTTTCGGATAAAGATGTTATCGTTAAAACCGCTTCAGGAGGTCTTCACATTTATTGTAACACTAATTTCTTCTATGCAGTTTCGAACAGAATGATTAAATGTTATTCCTGCAATGATTACGATATTGACATAATGACTTCTATGGATGATTCAAAGCGTTCTTTAGTAGTTATGGCTGATTCAAGAGTTCGCAAGAATGCAACAGAATCAATCAATACATACTCATTCATTCGTGGAAGTTATGATTCAACATTAACCAGAACAGTGAATGATATATTAAATGATTTGAATATTAAGGTAAGAGTTGAACAGAAGAATGAAGAAATAAAGAGTATCATGAATGAAAACAAAGATGTAAACATTGACGATAAACTTGCCCAGAGCATAGTTGATGGTATCTGTGATTTTGAAGTACATAATGACGGTGGAAACATGAATTTAGAAAAAGAAGTTACATTATTTACACTGTTTCAAGCAATTAATTCGTTACCTAATCATTTGATTAATGAAGCATACGATAACGTTTATAACTTCTGCAGTTTAACAGAAAATGCAAAAAGTAATTTTGAAAAAGCACGTAGTAGATATGCACATTTAATGACTTCTCCATTTGTTTTGGTGAAGATTCTAAAACTATATCAAAAGGAATATTATGATGAATATGTTTTGCCTTTATGACGTAAGCCAAAAATAACATTTGATATCAAACTTGATGACTCGTTTTTGATAACAGATATTAGACGCAAGGCTGAAAATCATCAGTATAAAAACAGTTCTGAAGTAATTGAGGATTTATCACGTGTAATCCGTTTTGTAGATTGTGGAAACAAATACTTCATTCAAAAAGATTACAACATACACGACAAAATGAATCAAATATCATTCGTTCTTCAATCAAACATGAAAGAGTCACTCAAAATGATTAAATTATTTAATGAAGAAGGTAAAACCATAACAGCATGGGATGTACTACTAAATCAATTGTCTTCATTAACCGTTAAGGGTGTTTGCTTTAAATCTAATTCTCCAGATGTTTTCTCAACGTTTCAAGGTTATAAATACAACATTCTCGAAAAACCAGATTACTCAAAAATTGAGATGTTTATGAATTTCATTAAAGAAGCCATTTGTGATAATAACGATGAAGTGTATAAATACCTTCTCGGGTGGATTGCATCAATGATTCAACATCCTGGAATCAAGAATGAAACAGCAATTATTTTGAAAGGACTTCAGGGAACAGGTAAAAACAGATTCACAGACATTATTTCTGAACTTCTCGCTGGTTATTCATGCAAAAACATTACCGAAATAGGTGAGCTAACGGGTAATTTCAACTCAGTAGTTGAGAATAAAATGTTTCTTGTACTTAATGAACTCAAGAATGTAGGCGAAGATAGACTCGCAAACTTCAACGCTTTGAAATCAATTATAACGGATAATGAGATTAGAATTAATGAAAAGAATCAACCCAGAAGAACAGCACAGAATGTTGCAAACTTCATTTTCGTAACTAACAACGTTTACCCTGTCAAAATTGAAGTTGGAGACAGAAGATATGTGGTTTTAAGGGTCAATGGTAAATTTAAGGGTCAATTTGATTACTTCAAGAATTTAATGAATTCATGCACAAAGGAATTTTATGATAATTTGCTGACGTATTTTATCAATTACGACCTTTCATCATTTAATGTACGAATCATTCCGATGACTGAAGCCAAACAAGATTTAATTGAATTATCAACAAATCCTTTAGATGTATGGATAAATACACATTATGATGAATTGTGTGTAGGTATGACATGTAAAAATGCTCTATTCTGCAAACCATCAGACATGAAAGACAAGAATTTCCAAATGAGTATTAAGGATAAATGTGATAGGAAACAAAGAAAAATAGATGGTAAACAGACATGGTATTATGTTTTGAAAGAAGAAATGAAAGGATTATATAAACATGTTGAACCAAACGATAATGAGGATTCATTTACTGACGATGAAATACCTGTAAATGAAGCTTTATAAAGTATGATTTGAATTTATTTTTGCATTAATCCCACTATGTTGTCAAAATGTCATGTTGTCTCATTTTTTCAGAGAAGTTAAATTACCTGGTGACCTGGTGACCCGGTGACCTCATCAGTTATTCAAAAATAAATAATAAGTGCCTTCCTCCTTTCATACCTGTTGTCAAAATGTCATGTTGTCTCATTTTTTCAGAGAAGTTAAATTACCTGGTGACCTGGTGACCCGGTGACCTCATCAGTTATTCAAAAATAAATAATAAGTGCCTTCCTCCTTTCATACCTGTTGTCAAAATGTCATGTTGTCTCATTTTTTCAGAGAAGTTAAATTACCTGGTGACCTGGTGACCCGGTGACCTCATCAGTTATTCAAAAATAAATAATAAGTGCCTTCCTCCTTTCATACCTGTTGTCAAAATGTCATGTTGTCTCATTTTTTCAGAGAAGTTAAATTACCTGGTGACCTGGTGACCCGGTGACCTCATCAGTTATTCAAAAATAAATAATAAGTGCCTTCCTCCTTTCATACCTGTTGTCAAAATGTCATGTTGTCTCATTTTTTCAGAGAAGTTAAATTACCTGGTGACCTGGTGACCCGGTGACCTCATCAGTTATTCAAAAATAAATAATTATTGAATAACCTAAAAACATTAACGATAAAATTTTATTTTTATATAAATGAATACCCCACAAGCTCAAAATTTACCACGAATCATAACAAGGGAGGAAATGATAAAAATGATGCAAGAACTAATTAAAAAACAACAAACCACGAAAACCGAGAAGATGAGGAATAAAAATTAAATTTGGATTGAGTTTAAAAATTCATCTTTATTAAATTCATCTCTTCCAATCAATTTATTTATTCTATTAAATTCTTTTATTTTTGCTTCACTCAGTTGAAGGATTGAACGGTAAGTTTTTAATTTTTATTTAATGTTAAATGAAACCGATTTTAAAAATAAATGAAACAGAGGAGGAAGAAATAAATGAAAGTGAAAATGTTCAACAAAAAATAAACGTTGTTAAACCAATTACTGAAATAAAAATTTTTTCATCTGTTGAAGAATTTAATGACTATTATGCTAATAATAAAAAATTATTTGAAGAATTGACAACGTGTAAATTGAATAAAATGTTTAAAGTTGATGGATTCAAAATTTCAAAAATAAAAGGAGTGGTTAGTTTGAAATCTATTCCTCAATCAAGAATCACCTCATTAATGAAAATTGATGATTTAACAAAAAGAATAGAAGAGATTGAAGAAAGAATGAATCAAATAATTGATTTCATAAATTCAAATAATCATTAGTTTCTAATTTCTTTTACTCGTTTATGAGGTCTTTGATTATGACTTCATTGATTCCATTCAGGATTTAAACAATGTTTAATTAATCGCGGAATATCTGACATCATCTATATATAGCTTCTTTTATAAATGATGAAATAAATTATTTTAAAATTAATGTTAATTTTTTAATGGTTTATTTTTTAAAAAAAAATATTTTTTATTTCATTATGTATGGGCTGAGTGTAAATGTCTTACAATTTTGAAAATTTTTTAAATCTTGATTTATTCAAAAACGTAAGAATAAAAACCGTAAGAATCATACATTTTTTACTTCATATGTTAAAAAAAATGATACAAAATCGCTCGATATTGTATGAATTCTTACGTTTACAAAAAAAGTCACAAAACCCATCCTATACTACTACTTATATATTGAAAAATTTTCCGATATGTTTAAGTGATAAATAAACAGTTTTTAATGCTCCAAGCATATTGTGTAACTCTAATTTTGATTTTTTTACAATAAACATTTGAGAAAACTGATTAAATCAAAATTTTTGATGACAGAATAATTCATCATTCCATAGTATCAAATACATATCAAAGATTTTTGTGTATTTTTAGGTGATATCTATAAAATTCTTATATTTTATCTATTTTTCGTCATTATCTTGCTTAATTGATCTAATATATGCGCTCAGTCTATCATGAGGACTAGAATTGATATCATTAGCATCATCTTGCATATCCAATTCCACACTTGAAATATAATTTGGATTTTGTTCAAAAATTCCTGTTATTTTTGTGTTCGGAACTGGAATTAACCAAAGCCATGGATTTTCACCTAGTCTACATTGTAGATTTTTATAAAATGAGCCTAAATCAAATCTATGCTGATAATTTTGATGTTTTCTTTTTACCTTTTCAAATATAAGCTTTTCTATTGACGTCATATTTTTCATTGCAAGTGTTATTTGCTCATAAAACATTGGAATGGCGAAATATCCAAAACTTATTATTATAATTAAACTAAATATCAATGAAAATATAAAAGTTTCATTAATTCCGATAATATTAAAAGCTTGTACATATATTGGTATAACAGATAATGACCAAAGAATTATGACTAACATAAATAAAATAAAGATCTTGAAATTTCTAGAGCCAACTTGATTCTGAATGAATGGGCAATAATGTTCATATACTAGAATGCATTTATCACAACCTGTATTGTGATGGCATCTTAATGGTCTTTCTTTTTTGCATTTATAGCAAAAACATAATTCACCAAATTCATCGAGTTCTTGTTTGTAACCTTTTTTATTTTTAATTTCAGCCAATCTTTCGTCTGTAAGGATACCTGGATCAGTTAATGCAGCTGCCAAATAAGAAATACAAGTATATATGAACAGGAAAAATTGAATTCCAAAGAATGTAATATTGCACCCTAATGGGCGAAGAGGAGCATATATCCAATGCCATAATACGAATTCATGAAAAATATATGAAGCATCAATTAGTCCATAAACAATTAGCACAACTATTTGCATTTTGAAATAAAAAGTGACGATATAAATCTGATCGTAGATATAATTTTAACTGATTGTGAAGACTATATCCTACTTGGCTAAAAAGGGGAAACTCATTTTTTAGACAAAAAAAGTGGCACCTGAGTATATATTGTTTCTGCTTTATCTGATCTTCGAAATGGAATTGATCCACGTTATTAGTATGAAACAATGATATACTAGGGGCTAAAGAATGTTAATATTGCAAAGATTCAATTATTCGATATTCAACTCATCATATCTTGCATTAAAGTTGATACATTCATTTTTCCGAAATATTACAACAGTAGCAACCTTACGTATTACCAATGATAGTTAAAGTACTATTTTGGCATAAGAAATTTAAAAAGATATTGAAACGACAGATTGACTAATCATTCTGATATAATATTATGCATACTATCAGGTGATAAAATTTGAAACATCTTAGCTTAACTTCGGTTTGATTATGAGATACAGATCTAATGTTGCTTGTTCTGTAGCAATAGTCACTAACTGATAAAATTATTATGATAAGAAGTCGAAATGTGCGAGTTTAATACACATTTGATTCAGATTTATTATCGAAATGAAAATCACAATATATCTTGAACTCATCAGTGAATAAAATCATGATTTTATTGATTTTTTCTAGATATTTACAATAGTTTCTAAACATGTGAAATAGTCCTTAATTTGAACCAGAAATAATTATAAATTACTTACAATGGCTGATTATCTATAAAGAATTATATATTATTTTGATAGAAAACTATGACTGATATATGATTTTGAAATAAATGCTTCTTTTCTATATCTTTGTAAAATAGTTATTTGATTCTGTTGTATAATTCACATATTTTAGTATAAAATTATATAATAACAAAAATAAAAACGTTTTCTCGATTTAGAATACAATGGAAATGTTTTGTTTCTCTCTCAATTTTAAATCTTCAAAATTTTTAACCTCATTTTTCCAAAAAAAATCGATAATTGAAAAAAACGTTATCATTTTCGAAAAAATTGCTTAGACATTTTCTAAATTGGAAAAAATTTGGAGAAATTCACCAAGGAGAACTTCATTCTAGGTATCAGAAACAATTGCTTTCAGTCAAAAAAGTCTCGAAATTTTTAAATATTGATATTGCTTTTCATCAATCACTTAATGTCGATTGTTTGTAGTCGATGTTATCACACGCCATTAAATTCTAATATATTTGAACACACTATAAATCTTTTTCGAAACTTATCAAAATTTCGCGCAATTTAGCAATACTTCAACTATCATGCCCAGTTACTATTACCGCATTCTCATTTTAAGAAGAACGGATTAATAAAATCTAAGATCTGGCGATTTATTTACCTAATTCAAACAATATTTTTAATTATAAATCCTTATTTGTGCATATTTTATATGTAGATGTATAAAGAAAAACGAGTAAAGTGTTACTACAAAAGAATACCTGAAAGCAGCCTAATAAATAAACAATTTACTTTTTAAACATCGAATTTTGCTCGTCTTGAGTGATCTTTTTCGTTTAATTTTCATAATACGATAAAATATATGCGTTATCAAGTAAAATATATGAATTATAGTTATAGTGTGTATGAACTCATAAACATATTCAGCAATAATCTGAAGCAGAAAAATTACTTTTGGATGCTTTGAATACTAGTAACATTTAGAAAATGTTTTAATTAAATTTTTTATTTATTTCTTATCTACATAGGTTCTGAAATATGCAATTGTTGGATCAAGGCCTTGTTCAAGCATAACCTTTGGTTCCCAACCAAGCTTACGCATGGCCTTAGTAATATCTGGTTTTCTCTGTCTTGGATCATCTGCTGCCTTTTCCATGTAGATAATCTTAACATTCTGGTTAACACGTTGTTGGACGAGTTCAGCAAATTGTTTGATTGTAAATTCGTGTGGATTTCCGATGTTGCAGGCTCCTTTGATGTTTGAATCAATTAAAGCGAGGAGTCCAGCAACTGTATCGGATACGTATGTGAAACTACGTGTTTGATCGCCAGTTCCGTAGATTGTCAAATCTTGGCCTTGGAGAGCTTGCATTATGAAGTTAGAAACGACACGGCCATCCTTAGGATCCATATTTGGACCGTAAGTATTGAAAAGTCTTGCTGTGCGAATCCAAACACCTTTGCGTCCGTATTCGAAGCAAAGTGTTTCAGCTGCACGCTTTCCTTCATCGTAGCATGAGCGGATGCCACGGCAATTAACGTGGCCCCAATACTTTTCACTCTGAGGGTGCTCAAGCGGATCTCCATAAACTTCAGAAGTTGAAGTGTATAACATACGAGCATTGTACTTCTGTGCAAGCTTAAGCATGTTATGTGTTCCTGTGACGCAGGTTTCTAACGTGTGAACTGGATCTTTCATGTAAGCTGGTGGAGAAGCTGGGCAAGCAAGATGGAAGATTTTATCAACTGGAATGTCGATTGGATCAATAACATCTGCTTGGATAAATTTGAATCTTGGGTTATCCAAGAATTGCTTGATATTTTCAAGTCTTCCTGTGAAGAGATTATCAAGAACAGTAACTTGGCAGCCTTGTTCCATAAGTCTAGCAACGAGATGACTTCCAACAAAGCCAGCGCCGCCAGTAACAAGTACTCTTGTAGGTGTACTCATTTATGAACGATGAATTTTTTTCGAAATTTATTCAAATTATCTTTATTTCATTTCGTGTAATAAAAATGTTATTTTCAATGAATATTCGTCTTCCAAATTCAATTAAAGTGGATATGTCACTTTTCAAGTCAAAAAGTTAATCTTTAAAGCAAAAATTGGGACCACATTGATGTGCTCTATAATAATGAAGTCGACTCTTTAAAAAACCGTTCTGAACCGATATGTTTGGAGTACAGTGCATCTCACAAAAATTGACATTGTAAAGTTATACAGTTTACAATTGGAAAATGACAAATTTACCACTAAAAAAAATTTAGTGCCAAACAGCAAAAGTATCGGTTGGAGTCGCCGCCGACAATCTACTTGCTCGGATGCTACGCAGATTTTGATTTTGCTCCATCCACATCAGCAAGTGATTTCGGCAGGAGATCCTCAAACGGTCTTCCAGAAACGCAATACCTGTGCAGTATAACTGCTAGGATATAGTAGCCAGGCTGTGTAGGCATTGCGCTTCTAAGGATATTACTTATCCGTTATTTCCATAATGCATTTACACTACGGTCCTCTGGTCCCCAAAGGGCCAAAGATTCTGTAATTACTCGATCAGGGCAATGTTCTTCCGAGATCTCTCATTCCATCGGAAGATCTCGGAAGAACTTTGCCCTAAACTACTCATTTACTGTTCTCTGGTTTTTAAAGAGCCAGGGAATCTGTAGTTGATCTAATATACAGAGTTTTCCCGAAATCTCAAATGATGAGAGACCTCGCAAAAACTCTGCCTTAAGATAATGTTCTTGTGATATCTAACAATTTGTATGTCTCAGAATGTAAATTTATTCGGCTAGGATAGAGTTTATCCGAAGTCTCTCATTTGATGTAAGGCCTCTGAAGAATTCTGCCTTAGTGTAATGTTGTTGTGGTACTTGGCCAATAAAGAACGAGAGAGCATGTCTGAAATTCGTTTATGCTGAAGTTATCTGGATGTCTCTCAAATGAGAGAGGAAATCCAGATAACTTCAGCATAAGTTAATGCAGATAATACACGTTATTATGGGAAATTAGTTTTCCAGTTTTATAATACTATATGATTTTGTTTATGGGAAATTAAACTGCGAGACAAAAGGCGTAAGTTCACTTCTAAATTGAGAGAAAGTATTCAAAATATTCTATGAGATTCTCACAATTTCATATCACATGGTACTTACGCCTTTTGTCCCAGGTATAAAAAATCAATTTTATTTAATATATAACATAAGATTAGTACATAGATAGATATTATCAGAAAATTTAAATCCTATGATCAGGATATGATTATCTGATAATATGAAAATCTCGATATTCATTCAGTTTTTTTTTTAATTTTTCTGGAAAAAATTTTGGGCAAATGTATATCGATATGGAATTACCTCAAAACATGTCGGCACCTCTAAATGGTATCAATTGTTTTTAATGGAAAAATCCAAATTAATGGAATTTTTTATTTTAAAATTTCTAATGTCTGAACAAGACTTTCATCCACATAAATTCAGCGAAATGCGAGATATTTGTAAATCCAACATCGATTCATATAATGCGTTGTATCAGCTCAAAACGGAAAAAGAAGAAGAATTAAAAACGATTTACAAAATGATCAAAACAGAATTGATTGATTCAAAGATAATCAATCTTCAAAATATTATTATAAGAAAGATTCATCTCATTCACAGGTACAGATGGATTTGATAAAGATCAAAAACTTAAAAGCAGCTTATATCCATATCATTACGAAGGATATACATTGCTTGAATTATGTTGTTACCATGGGGCTGTTGATTGTTTTAAGTTTTTAAGAACGAAATTTAACTCAGAAATAACTCAAGAATGTCTAGCATTATCATTTTTAGGAGGAAATCAAGAGATCATGAGTGAATGTTTGAAATGTCAAGAACCATATTATAAATGCATGAAATATGCAATTATTTCACACAACATTGATTTTGTTACATTCTTGATGAATGAATACAATTTAGAGATCAATTTAGATTATTGCATAGATTATAATAATCTCGAATTAATTTTGGTTTGCTTCGATCAAACAAATGATATTAATAAATGTTTAGTTAATTCAATTATGCTTGGTATTCCATCCCTTTGTGATTATTTCTTATCACATGGTGCAAATATTAATGAAAAAAATAAAGATGGACAAACAGTTCTTCATATTGCAGCAGAAAAAATTATTCAAAAATAGTCGAAATTCTTATTTCACATGGTGCAAATATCAATGAAAAAGATAATAATGGAAAAACAGCACTTCGTATAGCAACAGAAAAATATTATTCAAAATTAGCCGAAATTCTTATTTCACATGATGCAAATATCAATGAAAAAGATGAATATGGAGAAACCATTCTTCATTATGCACTACGTAATAATTGCCCTGAAATAGCCGAAATTCTTATTTCATATGGTGCAAATATCAATGAAAAGGATAATTATGGGCAAACAGCACTTCATATTGCAGCAGAAAAAATTATTCAAAAATAGTTGAACTTCTTTTTTCACGCTCTAGAAAGATTAATGAAAAAGATAATAATGGAAAAACGGCACTTCATTTTGCAGCAGAAAATATCAGCAAAGAAACAGCTGAAATTCTTATTTCACATGGTGCAAATATTAATGCAAAAGATAAAAATGGAAGAACCGTTCTTCATATTGCAGCATTTTATAGTGGCAAAGAAACAGCCGAACTTCTTATTTCACATGGTGCAAATATTAATGAAAAAGATAATAATGGAAGAACTGCTCTTCATAAAGCAGCAGAAAATAATCGTGAGGAAACAGCCGAAATTCTTATTTTACATCATGCAAATATTAATGAAAAAAATAAAGATGGACAAACAGCTCTTCATATTGCGGCAGAAAAAAATTATTCAAAAATAGCCGAACTTCTTATTTCACATGATGCAAATATCAATGAAAAAGATAATAATGGAAGAACCGCTCTTCATAAAGCAGCAGAAAATAATCGTAAAGAAACAGCCGAACTTCTTATTTCACATCATGCAAATATTAATGAAAAAAATAAAGATGGACAAACAGCTCTTCATATTGCAGCAGAAAAAATTATTCAAAAATAGTCGAACTCCTTCTTTCACATGATGCAAATATTAATGAAAAAGATAAATATGGAAGAACCGCTCTTCATATGACAGCATATTATAATCGTAAAGAAACAGCCGAACTTCTTATTTCACATCATGCAAATATAGGGTGTCCAAAGGTGCGTTTAGCACAGCGCTCTATATGAGACTATTAAAGGAGATATATGCTGATTATAAATATAATAAAAAAATATGAATATATGTATATGATGAGTAAGTTGTATTTTGGCGCCATGCCGGGATATAAAATGAATTTTGAGACAAGAGGCGGTTTCGCAGGAAATTTTGGCGGGATTTTTTTCATTTTTTTAATGAATCATAAAGAAAACATCCTCGCTCTTGCAAAAAAATGCAAAGACTGTAAAAAATCTACGAGACATTGGTAAAATGCTTCGGTATGGATGCTCCTAGCTATTCCACTGTAACGTATCATGTTAGGATGTATCACTTCATGAACAAAAAGGCGCCCATCATAAAAATTGACAAAAAATCGCCGGATCAAAGAAAAATCAAAGCAATTCTTCAAGCGCTAGATGAAGACCCAAGAGCATCACTCAGAAGGATAGAGGAGATGACAAAGATACCACGTACAACAGTCAGTTATTATCTGCACAATTATTTGAACTACAAACTAGCGTATACACGTTGGGTTCCGCACAACCTTAATTCAGTTCAAAAAAAATCTAGAGTCCAATCTTCGAAAGAGCTCCTCTCTATATTGGGTGCGTATCAATCCAAGAAGTTTCGCTTTTTAGTAACAGGGGACGAGTCTTGGTTTCAATATGCAACAGAAGCCAAAATCATGTGGATCCCGAAGGATGAAAATCCGCAAACATTCCCGAAGAAAAAAATTGACACACCAATGATGATGTTGTCGGTTTTTTGGGGCGTGAATGACATCATCGCAATTGATATTCTTCAAAAACCTAATACGATGAATGCTCAGTATCTAATTGACAATGTTCTTACTCAAATTATCAATTCTGATGAGTTTGAGAAATCCAAACAACAAAAACAAAAGTTTGCAATTCATTTTGATAATTCAAGAGTTCACAAAAGTCATAAGGTAATGAATTACTTGGTGGAAAACAATGTCAAAGTTGTTCCAAACCCAATTTATTCACCTGATATTGCACCCTCTGACTTTTATTTATTCGGCACGCTAAAAAAGAGAGCTGAAGGACGCGAATTCGCGAGTCCAGATGATCTTGAAAATTTTGTAAGAGAGCAATTTGAGCAATTTTCTCATGATGATTTAAAGCGTGTCTTTCAAGCCTGGATCGATCGCTGCGAACGCGTGATTGAATCCAATGGTGATTATATTTAAATAAACTTTATATATATGTAACTTGTTTATTTCTATTCGCAGTATTCAGGTTTGTGCTAAACACACCTTTGGACACCCTATATTAATGAAAAAGATAAATATGGAAGAACCGCTCTTCATATTGCAGTTGAAAATAATCGTAAAGAAAAAGCCGAACTTCTTATTTCACATGGTGCAAATAAATAATATCCTTATATAAGAAGCTTATCCTCATATTCCGGTATTTTTGAAGATGAATTTCATAAAAAATAAAAAATTTTTATCATTTTCCGCACTATTTTATGTGATTAAAATAAGTAAATATTCTTCCGATATATGAAGGACGTGAGCATGTGAAATGTGCGCATTTTTAAAGTTGTCACTGCATTAGGAGAAATCGCAGCTAACTCATGTCTTTCGTTGACAATTTTTGATTTAAATTTTTCCTTGTCTAAGATCAAAAGTTAATAGTGTTGGTGGGGAATAGTTATTATAAATCCCTATATAGTACCTGATATGGCTGTTGAACTTTTTACTATCGGACTAAAACTTATATTGATATTATGAGAGTATAAAAAAAATGACTGAGCAAGCCGATGATAAAGGAAACTATCTTCAAAAGATAACAGAATGTTTAACAACTCAAGAAATGGTCAACATGTACCTTGGATTTTCAGAACCAAAGAATCCACATCTCAGCGTTTTTTGCTGGTTAGTATCTTATGGAATTCTTCCATTAAATTCAGCAGCGGCTGTGATGGTTAAGGTGACTAGTGTTAATGAAAAGTATACTAAGGAATTAGCCCAATTGTCAAACTTTAATTTTTCAAATACTTTCGATCGAACGCAAGAAGAGAATTTTCAAAACTTTTTAAGTTCCATTAAAAGTAATTGGCATACTATACTAAATTCAGATGGTCTTAATGTCGAAAGTCTCGTTAAATCAGCACAAACAGTAATTCCTTTCATTTGCAAATGTCGCGGTGTTGAATATAGCGATGGATTAGTATCAACATACGTCAGAATATATGAAGTTTTATTCCAAGTTTTCAAAATTTCAGAGTTTACAGTTCATGTTGAAGCTCTTTCGTATTTTTTAATTTTGGAGATGTACAAAACAATTCACAACCTATTCAACTCATCAGATGACAACTCATACGTTTCAAAAATTACAAAACTCGGTCAAGAACTAGAAATTTCTACATTTGATTCTCCAGAAAAAATATCTAAATTTACTCATTCATTGGTATTTGACTCGATCTCGAAGCTTAACCTTCAAGAATTCTTTGAATTCTGGGATAGATTCGTATTCAGAAAAGGAATTATCGAAATTTACTTGTACGAGCTTATCAAGACATTTGTTTCTGATAACAAAAACGGAAATTACCTTCAAGACTTTGTTTCTCAAAATGTAGGTTTAAATGCACGTCAATTTAATGAGAGAATTGAAGCATCATTATATATTCAACTACGGAAAGATTCTCGTTCTAGTCAGAACTTAGTATTTGCTTCTATGGCCATAGCCGGCCTTTTTATTTTATATCGAAAATTTATGTCGAATTAAAATAAACTATCTGTTTAAATGTTAACTTTAAATGTCATATTACATTCGCTTATTATTTAATATTATCGAATTTTTGATATTTCAATGTATCCATTCAATATCTTTATTAAAAATTATGATTTAATATGTTTCAAATAATGAAAATAGTTTACAACTATATTAAAAGGATAAGTCTAATAAATCTTCAGGGAAAAGATTAAAAAGACAATCGTTTTTGGAATTTAGATTCATTTCTCGAAAATCAGCAATAGATGCATCAATCAATTCTTCAAATGATATGTGTGGTTCGTTTTTTGGTGTATTTGTTTCTATTTTCTTGCATTTTGTTTTACACCGATCAGACATTAATACAGGTGCTCGTCCTTTGGATGCAAGTAGTGAATATCTATTTTTAATATTAACATCAGATCTTGTTGGAAAGTGTTTAACTATTTTTGCCCAGCTAGATCCATGTCGTTTAACTAAACTGATTAAAAATCGATCTTCTTGTGATGTCTAAGGTCCATTAACTAAGTTCGGTGATAAGTAATTAATATATCTTTCTCTGCATTGGCGCGTATTGCGTCCTTCCATTAGAGATGCAATTTTTTTCCACGAATGAATGCCATAAATTCCAACAAGTTCTTTAAGACGCTCATCTTCATCAGCACTAAACTTGTGTCTCATTGAATCAACTCGTTTCAGAGGTTCTTTTGCTATTTTCTTCATTAAAAAATTTGAATATAATACTTTTCAATTAAATCACAATTCAATGAAATGATTTGAATGATGATATTAAAGAAATTCATAAGATATTGTACTTCCAATTAATTTAGAATACTTTTTAAAAAATATTCGAATATAGGTTATTTGAAAATAACTTTCAATTAACGAATAAAATTTTAAATTCAGCTATCAAATAGAAATGGACTATTATCACAAATTTTTGATTTTTATTAATTCTTCCGTTTCAATTTGCAATCTTTATCAATAATTGAATACACACGTCTATAATTTTAAATATTTTGACCCATTAAAATTATATACAATGAAATTATTCTCGATAAAAATCATCAGTACAAAAGATTGTTTAGAAAATTTATCAATGAAGAACCAAAAATATTCAACATTCGATTATCATCGGCGTGGTATTCTCTATAATAGCACAATAAAAGCAACAATAAAAATCACACTTTCAAATTGTCTGATTTAAGGTTTTCAATTCAAGAAAATCATGTAAAATATTTGTAAATAATTGATTTTCGGCAAAAATAATAAAATATATTATTATGATAGTGTATGCTATGTAAGAACCATGAGAAATTGTGATGGAAATTTTGCAATTCTAATAGATTTTATTGTAATTATCATTAATTATGAAGAAAAGCGATTTAGAACTCATCATATCTGTCAGTAAGATCGAATGTTTATCGCTGATTTAAAATTTTTGCAGAATTTGATAAAAATTGTTGAAAAATATTGTGAAACCTATAAATCACTACATGATCATGGTCATTATGAGGTAATTCAATATTGTTCGACCTTTTTAATAATTCATGTATTAGGATTCGCTATAATTTTTTCGTGATTTTCAAGAAATTGAAAACACTTACAGATTTATACAAAAATTCAATAGACCTTTATATTTGAAAGGACATATAGAATAATCCACAAAAAATGATTATCGGAATTTACAAGCGAACTCTATTCATTCATTTTGTTCTCAAGGTTATTATCGGAAATAATATTTCCCAAAAAATTGAGAGAAAAATCTTGTAATTTATCGTAATATAATAATCGCGTATCTAAAACATCTATAAATCTTCACTTGAGCAACCCTCTATATTGAAATAATTTGATGTTCTCAGAAAATGTCAAATTTTTTCACAGTATCGGAAAAAGTTATCACACATCGAATTTTCATACTGGCAGAATAGTTAAAATTTTGATAACATGTTTACTTAAGTGATAACATAGTATTGCTTATATTGCTTTCAAGAAATTGAATGATTCGTTGGTTAATTAAGATTTTTTTTCTTCCTAATAATTAATATCATGTATTACAAATGCATATATTGACAATGTCACACTATTAGTTTGCATAAAATATATGATAAGGACTGAAAACATAATCATAAAGTTTAATAGATAAAAAAAGAACATAGAACTTTAAAAATCAAAATACCTCTCATTATGCATTATTTTTTTGGATGTTTTGAAAATTCTATTACAAATTTATGTGCTCTTGTTTCTTGAACAAAAAGAGTTTCTAATGGAAAGCTGTATGTCCATCATTTTCTTTTGATTTTTTATCAGCACCATTTGTTATAAGATCATAGAGTGCTTTGCGATTATTATCTTTTGCATTTTTGTCAGCACCATAGTTGATTAATACTAGGTCTGTGTTTTCATTTATATTGACTTCATAATGAAGTGCAGTTTTGCGCTATTAAATTATTAAAGTTCTGGCAAATAGTCATTTAATGATTTTGATGAATAATGAAATTGTGTATCTTCATCCTCCAAATTAATGAATAAAAGGATGAAATTTTGTTGGGATGTTAAAAATTACGGTCGTTGACATAATACACTCTATAATATACTATATTTACCTAAACAAATCTATATAAAAAATTAAATATAATAGATATATTGAATTTTGTTATCAAATCAAGGATAGTAATCATCCACAAACTCATTTAACTGCTCTTCAGTGATTGACAAAACTGAATAAATTGAGTAAAGAGTTCTTCATCAATATTTTCACCAATTTCTTCTTTCTTTTCAATTAATAAGTTACAATCTTGCAAAAGAATATTGATAAGCTCGTTGTCGTACCTAAATTTCATGAAATTTTGCATCATTCTATTAATTTCAGATAAATCATGGGGAGGAAAATTCTGTAGAGCTAATTTTTCGAATTCCAAATTTTCTGATAATGCACAATATGTAGAAATTAAACTATAGATGTTAGAATCTGCATCATCAGTCGAATTTCCTATCCAGTTAGCAGCCAACAATACATATCCTTCAAATATACTTAATGTATCTGGAAAATTTGACAAAAACAAATTTGTCAAATAACAGAAATTTTGATAGCAATCAATCGGTATTTTTTCATGAATAAATGCATAAACATTAGTAATGAATTCGAAGAAATTCTCTGGTAAATTTCCAGATTCGACGAAATCTATAAGCAATCCTAAATATGAATCATAGCAAGCAGATGGAGCTTGGTTTAAAACATTTGCAGTTAAACATTGCAAAAGAAGATAACTTTCTTCTCTTCCTCTAACTAATCCTAACTTTAACAAATCTAATACATGTATAAAGATATTAAACGATGGATTATTAATAAATGATCCAATATATGAATCAATTATTTGATCGAAATCACCAAAATCTTCATTGTTTTGCAGTGAATTTAATATTCTTACTACACTACTCAACAAATAAAAACCATTTTTATCTTCATTATTAACTTCAAATGAAAGTAATTCTTGGACTAATCTAAGGATATCTTCATGATGCAAATAAATAGACATTTCAGGCAAAACAGGAACAACAGCAATAACTAAATCTTCGTTTTTGACAGAAATTGCATGGAAAATATCATTCATTAAATCTCCAAGAAAATCAAAAGATTTTGTTTTCGAAACATAAAAGAACTTAATAGGAATAAAGAACACTTCTAATGAAGGAGTAGTGAAATGCATCTGACAAAACTCTCTCAAGTAATTTGAGATGTCAGTATTTAACAGAAAATTATCTTCATCATTTGGATATTTTTCAAGAAATCTTGACATGAATTGGAATAAAGTTGTAAACAAAGAAATATCACTTTTCTCGTCTTGTTTGATTTGTTCCAATATCATTATAATAGGATTATATATCAAAGGAACAATTCTTTCATTCAAATCAGGGAATTTGCAAAGAATAGCACCAGATATTAACAAAATAGATTCAAATGAATTTTCTTGACTGATAACAAATTCAATTATTTCTAAAATGGCTGCTGCTGTTTCTTCTTTTATAACTTCACATCTATAAACTAAATTAGTGATATCATTAATTAAATAAACATCTAAACTATCAACGGAAACTCTCGATAACATTATTTCAAGTAAATTACTTACATCAAATTCAGTTTGACATATTTCTGTAATCGATTCTGAAAATTTTACTTCGAGTTCTTCATCACCAGAAAAAGCCATCCAAAGGACACTTTCCAAAGAGTCAATATCTCCTGTTTGCTCAAAAAGCAATTCAATAAACGAAAGACTCGTTACTTGCAAATTAAAATCATATTCTTCAGGGGAATTAATATGATTTAAAACCTTTTCTCTAAACAAATTAACAAAAATAGTTTCGAGTTCATTGTCTAATTTCGAAAAATTCGAATAACATTCTATCATAAATCTCAATCCTGTTAAATAATATGATAATTCATCAACTTCGAAACATTGAACAATGTTTTCAATGAAAAATCCATATAAACTTGGAAAATACGATGCAGTTTTGACGCATTCGGATATATATGACTTGACATTGTCACTGTCAGCCATTTCAAGACTTAAACTGAAAATATCTGAAATAATTGATTGCGTATTTGATGAATCTTGGTAAGGAATACAATGTAACAAATATTGGTATATTGTAAATTTAATTTGAGGAGGTACATCTTCATTAGATAGTATAGATTCAACGATTGAAGAATAATTTGGATTATTAATTAACTGATTATGGAAAGAAATCAAACTTCCGATGGTTCCTGCTAGTACAAGCTGAGAATCAAACTGTAGTGAATTGAATTCTTGTAAAAATGGTAAAATATTATTAAAAATATTTGAAATATGATTTTCTAGATCTGATTCTTCAATTCTATTGCAGCTTGTTAATGTATTGATAATATGTGCATATAAGTGATTAATTTTAATGCGTTCATCAATGACAATTTTGCTTTGGTTGAGAAAATATGAAATTTGTTGAATTATGTTTTCTGCGGAGTTGATAATAAAATCATCTGGTAGCTTGTAGAATATGAAATCCATAATAAGGAGTTTGTAGTGAATTGATTCAGCATTTTGATCAAATTTTTCTAACCATTTGAGAAATTCTGTGAAAGTAATTTGTTGTGGATATATTATATCTAAAAATATGTTTAATATATGTCGAAATGAATATGATGGCATAGATTGTAAGATTTCTAACAAATTATATTGAATTAAAGTGCGGTTACCTATATCTAAAGTACTCCATTGGATTTTTATACACTTGTATAAGTATAAATATGCTAGGTTAACTGATCTTCCATCTTGATGAGTTGATAATATATTGAATAACAAGTGAATTGTAGAAGTTTCTTCGATAATTTTAAGTATTTCTAGCCCGGCTTCTTGTATTACTTGATTATCATTCACTAATGTTTTCTCTAATAGCTGAAGAAGTTGTTCTGAATCCATTTATCAAAAAAAGGTCAAAATTTTGATAAAATTAATGAAAGGGAATGATTTATTTTATTGTAAGTTGTACCAATTGTATGAAAGATTATTTGAATGATGGAGCTAACGTACGTATTTATAAGATTTTTAAAAAAATTATGAGAAAACTTTCTTTTATAGCTGACACTACATCCACCACTATAAAATGGAGCAATAAGAACTTAAAAGCAATCCCAGTCGAAAAACTTCCGAATGCACTCGAAAATCTTAGTATTTCCAACAATCCAATTTCAGATCTAAGTATCCTTCCTAGATTTCATACATTACTTCGACTCAGCTGTGATGGAACACTCATATTTACGTTTGAAGGTGTTGTTGATCAGCCTAGACTTAATTCTGTGAGTTTAATAAATACACCAATTTCTACTCTTCCATGCTTTCGTTTAATGGCATCAATTGCATTTGGTAGATCAGTGGTAATGATAAATGGTGAACCGCTCTCAATCAGCGATGGTATCTTAAGGGCTACATACGGACCTGTTATTAAATCTTGGCTTTTCAAGGGATACGTGGTAATATCACTAGATCCGTTGATAATTTACAATCCAAAGACAAAAGAAAGGAAAAAACTTAATATTGGCCCAATTGGAGAAGAAATCGTTGAACCAGCTGGAAAACAAGGTCCTATCGATAATATTGTTGATGATGTTATTGATGATATATCAAGTCATGGAAAACCTAATAAGAAACGAAGTGCATTAAAATTATCACGACAACAAGCAGAAAAACTTAACTACTATAAAGATAAGAAAGCTATCATGGGCTCGTATGATATTCAAACCAATATTGAGCTTCCATTTCCAAGTTATCATTAATTATTCTTTAATAAAATGTTTGTATAATTGTTTGTATTAAAAAATCGTGTTTTCTGATACCAACTGTAAGGAAATTTACTTTTACGAAGAAATAATTTGATAAAAAAGAAAAATTTTGAAATAATGTTTATTTAAAGTAATATAAAGTTACTATTTATTCTCTATTTCAGTCTATTTTGATACAGCATCCATGATTTTTCCAACAATTGAATCAATTGATTCTTTGACGGTTGGTGCGATTTGATGACTCTTTCCTACAAGTCCAGCGACTAATGTTGGATCAATTGGTACACTACCAAGGTATTCAACACCTTCTTCTTGGCACATTTTCTCAGCGCCGCCATTTGTCCTTGGATAGATACTACTATCCTTACCACAGTGTGGGCAATGGTATGACGCCATATTTTCGATGATACCAAGAACGCGGATGTTAGATTTCTTGCAAAATCTGATTTCTCTTCTGACATCTGAAATTGCGACTTCTTCTGGTGTAGTAACAATGACAGCACCTGTGACACCAGCATCTTTCATAAAACTGACAATTGAAAGGTGTTCATCAGAAGTGCCTGGAGGAGTATCAATAAGCATTATTTCGGCTTCACTCCAATCAACATCTGATAAGAGCTGTAAAACCATCTGATTTTTAACACCACCACGTGCAATAATTGGATCATCTTTGTTTTCGAGGAAAAATTGTGTGCTGACAAGGTTAATATTTTCATCAACGTTTAATGGTGAAATACCTAATGATGTTTGACGTAATTTTTCGTTTTCTGCTTCGAAAAGAAGAGGCATTGATGGACCGCAAAGATCTAAATCAAGAACACCGACAGACATATCGGCAGCAAGTCTTCTTGTAAGTAGGTATGTTGTTGTTGACTTTCCAACTCCGCCTTTGCCACTCAAAACGAGGATTTTATATTGGACAGGCTCCATTGCTTCGCCTACTTTCCTGATGCTATCCTTCAAAGCTTCAGGAACTATGCCGGAACTGCATGAACCTTTCATTGGGCAATTAGCGCAATCTCCGTTACAAGACATTATGATTTTTAAGTTGTTCAGTCAAATAGAAGACGAAATCGCTCTATTTGTATTGTTTTAACACCCATTAGACAGAACATTATCATAATTAAGCTGATAAAAATTTTTTGTGAGTAAAATTTCGAGGGGTGTAAATTTTTAGTCAGGTTACTTCTGTAAAGCAAATCATCTCAAGAATTTGGGAAAGTTAACTTAAAATTTCAAATTTATGATCAAATGATGCTTTAGATTCTAGTGGAAAGAGGAAACAATTATTATCTTTCTTTGACTTTTTTTTTAGAATGTTTTGATGCAAAATAATGATATTTTAACGAAATTCAGTACTATTTTCAATCAATTGGTATACGAACCTATTGATGGAAATCATATGCTATATGCTCTTCAAGGAATGCATGACTTTTTCAATGATTCTAAGTTTCAAATAGCAAAAGAAGATGTTGATAGATGGTTATGCCAGCTCATTCAAGCTGGAGTACAGAATAATGTCAATAAAAACTCAGATGAAAGTCTATACAACGAATACATGGAGATCATCAGATTATTAATATCAAAATTTAAAGCTTTAGACAGAAAAACATTCGGAAAAACGCTTTGTGCTTCACTCCAAGATGGTATTTATACACAAAGTTCGATAAAGCTTCCATTTATTTACCATCCCAAAGAACAGTTACAGATAGCGAACAAAAACCAGTCACATATACATCTTTACTTCGATATATTACAATCTTTCCTTAATATTTCATTTTCTATACCAGAAAATTTTTTTGAAATTATTCTCAATATTTTGTGCCATACAAAAGATTTTTCATCCGAGATTTTACACACATTAAGTTGTGCTATACCATGTGATCATTGCACATCATTAAAACTCATCAGAGTCCTTTTTTGTTTCATGAATAATTTTGCAATCAAAAATACCGAAATTGATACAGAAATTGATTTATTTGCCGCTAAAACATTACAACATTCATGTTCTAGATTACCATCCTACATGAGAAAGCTTTTAAGTCGAGATTTAATTTCATATATCAAATTTTATCAAAATATCAAGCTTCCGATGTTTCTTAATGAGTTCTTTTTGCTTATTAAGGAGTTTGTTGAAAGTGACCATGCAAATCACAAACTTGTTTCAGATTTAATTTTCAATAATTTTAAAAATTTTTATTACGTCACAAATTACATAGAACTATGTAAAACATTGATAAAGAACAACAACAAATACCTTGAATATTTCACCAAGGTCAATTTCGACTCCAATCCCGAGATAATTCCGAATTTAATGGAAATTTTTCCGAAATTTTCTCCAAATTTTTCGGAATTATCGAAATTTCCTCAAATTTTCTACAAAACAATTGTTAAGATAGAAAAACCAAGTCTTATACATGGCAGCTACTTATCCAGATGTCTTGATACCGCTTCACCTCCTTTAGAATTGATAAATGATCTCTACAAATTGTTTCCAAACATAATTTTAGAAAAACTTGACAAATTATCAGTTGATTTTGCGATCAAAATCTTTGAAGAGAACAATGATTTGTTTAAGAGATACATGAGCAATGCTATTGACATTGCCAGTAAGAGTTTGTCGAGAACATTGATGTCGATGATAATAATTTATCAAAAACAAAATGAAATCCAATTAACAGATGATTTTTTAATTGAATTAAAAAGCAATGTTAAAAATGTAGAAGCATATAAAGACAAGCATTATGTAAATGCTGTTTCTATGATACTCAAAGATGAAGAACTTTTGGAATTGTACACTTATGATTTCATCAAAAAACTTTTGTCAATTTGCAAAGAAAGTTGTCAAATTTTATTAGACAACAAATATTTGTCTTTCCACATTTTGAAGTTGTTAATGCAAATTTTATGGACTGAAGATGAAATACTACAAGGAATAAGTCTAATATTGATTTCAAGAATGAAAGATTTGTCATCAATTAAGACTTTGTACAAATACGAATTTGGTTCATTACTTGGAAATTTGTTTGTTCAGAAAGAAACGGTTTTTAATGAATTATGTACGATTATTTTCCATAGAAAAATACAAAACCACAAAAACATCATCAGTGCATTCCAGAAAATCATTTTCCCATTTATTATTTGTACAAGTGAACAAAATCTTCAAAAATTTTTGGAGAAAAGCAAATTGAAACTGAAAGATTTTCTTTCAAAAAACATTCCAAGCATTCTTGAATTCATTTTCACTTCGAATGACGAACAGATGAGTAAAAGAGCATTCGAATTCTTCAGAAAGCAGAAAATGACAAGTTTGCAGAAGGTTGTTTATGATAATTCCATTCGTTTCTTCCCTGTTTTGTTCATTGATTGTGTTTCTCCAAATGAAATCACAAGACAAAAAGCAATTCAAAGTGTCAAATCGATATTTGAGTCGAAATACATCGAGAAAAGTGTTTTGATATCAAAAGAAGAATATTTTAACCAACAGATCGTCAACTATTTCTATTTCACATTAGTGAGATTGACGAAAATCATTACAAGTCCAAATCCTTGTGATGAAAAACTCAAAATGGTCATTCCAACAATCAAATATTTGTTACCTTTCATTGAATCGGAATTACCGAAATTTATTACACAGATTTACACGGTTTTAATGAGAGTTTGCAGTATAGATATCTTGAAATTGAGTTGGATACAGTTTTGGTACGATTTCTGCAAAACTTTTTCTTCAAAAATGGAAAATGTTTGTTTACAAAGAATTTTTGTTCCTTTGACACAAAATTTATGTATTTTACACAAAGAATTTCCAGTTGAAATCTCCGCTTTCTTCAGGTATTTGATCATTGATTTGAAAGAAATAACAGAAGATTGGTTTAAATACATTTATTATTATCCTGTTTTGGATGAAATAATTGATGTAAAACATCAACTCCAAAAGGATATTAAACTTGAATGGTCCGACCAAATAATTTTGTTATCGCATAATTTGGATGATTTCTCTAATTTGTCGTTTAGAAATTTGTGTTTAGAGACTATTCGAAAACTCCTTAAAGATCATGAAGAAGAACTATACACAAACAAACTTGATATCAAATATTTAACAACAAAATTATGGAGTGTTGCTTCCCACGAAACAGATAAAGATAATGCAATGCTATTTGGTAGAATTTTGTCACTTTTACCGTTTACTAATGATATTTCTGAACCTCATTTTGATGTGATTAACAAAGATGACATTGACAAGATTATTATTAAAATCATTACTGATTATCTTGTTAAAATTCTTGTTAATTCGCAAATAACTTTATACGCGATCCAACAAATGTTGGCTTATTTAGGATGTAGAGATGTAACTAATGATACTCAAGCACAGTTTTCTGATGAAAGAGGATTGTTGAATTGGTCGAAATTCCCTGATGAAATCAAAACAGCTATCAATAATTGCAGATCAACATCTTTTAAGCAAACACTGCCAAAAGAAACTGAAACAGCTCTTAAGCCATTAATTGACTCTGCACATAGATTTTCTCTTTCAAGATGGATGAGAAATCTTTTTGTAAATCTCATAACAAAAGTGGACTCAATAAAAAGCAGTCCATCGAATTTTGATTACAGGAAAACTGATGGTGGTTATTTGGAACCATTAGCTCATCCAATAGGAGTAAGCAGTGCATTGGGTTATTTTGTTATTCCTTATTTGATTTCTTATAATTCGAGTAACGAAGTTTTTATAAATTGTTTGAGAAAAGAATGGGAATATTGCTACGAAAAACTTCGTGGAAATAACAAGAAACAAAAGACAATTGCAAGAACAGTTATTCAAGCTTTCTTTTCTTTGTTCGACAGCTTGGAAAGAATGAAAATTTCTGCTTCAAAAGACAAAATTTTGAAAGGTTGGACTTATCTCGAAATTGCTGACGAAAAGAAATTGGCAAAGAGTGCTTATAGTTGTCAATTATGGCAACGCGCTTTGATGCATTTTGATAATCTATGCCAGCTTTCAAAAGAAAACATGACAACGAAAAATCTCCAGTTAATGAAAGAATGTTTTACTAACAGTGGAGATTTAGAAAATGCAAACTTTTTGAAAAAGAAATTGTCAGAAATTTCTGACACAAAAAGTGACACCGCTTTGTCAGAAATGAATTTGCTTGATGAGGAAGAGCAGAGATCGCAAAAGATACTACTTATTAAAGAAATGGTTGAGAATGGAAGGTTCGAAAGAGCTTTGTCAGATGCGAAAACGATAAGATCGACGGTTATTCCTGATTTAAGGTTAGATTCAAGTATTTGTAGAAGTGCGATGAGTTTAGGAAAATGGGATGAGATCGAGAACATTATACATGAAAATTGCAGTGTTTTGACAAGAGATTTTGATGAATCGAGATTGATAAATGATGCAAATAATTTGAGATTTGATATTTCAGTCGCAAAATCATTTTATGATTTGAAATTCACGACATCACAGAATTTCAAGGATGATATTGATATCCAAAAGAAGAGAATGACCCAGGAATTGTCTGAATCATTTTTGGGAAGCTACATCAAGCTGAGACAGAGTTTGGTTAAAGTTAGAATTTTGGATGAAATGTCACTTTTTGCTGATAATCGAGAAGATTATAATTTAAGTCTTTTCAAGAAATGGATTGATAAAGAGCCACTCAGCTTAGATATTCTCTCTAGAGTTACATCAATTAACTGTGCAATGATTGATTTGATGGAGAAAAACGATAAATTAAATAATCTTACTTTAGAATGGATTGATTTAAGTGTTAAAAGTCGTCGTAATGATAATATAATAGCAAGTGAAATGCATGCAAATAGAGCTCATAAAATGATGCCGAACAATGATTTGGTTTTAATCGAATTAGCTAAAGTTTCTTGGTGTAAAAAGCCATCAGATACTTCGATTAATATTTTGAATACAATTAAACCAGAATCTGATAAACAAGGAAAGATTTCATTCATGAAAGCGCAATATCTCGATAAATTGAACTCTTTAGATGCTGATGGTTTAACAGAACTTTACAAGACAATCACTCAACGACCTGATTGCGAAGGTAAAGTTCATTATCAGTTTGCTACTTTGATTGATCAAAGAATTGAGAAATACATAAATTATGTCGAAATTGATGGCCAAGAAATTGGAGTTTCAACGAAATTAAGGAAAATGGAAAGCGTCAAGTTCTGGGGAAACACAAGTTCTTCAATGAACATTGCTTCATTCTTGAAGACTCAAGTTCCTTTGTGTTTGAAAAACTACTTCTTGACAATCATCAAAACTCCTCAATTGTCAAACGAAGTTTTACCAAGAATCATGGATTTGTTTTTCGAAACAATCAGAAATCTTCTTTCTGAACAAAACAAGAAACCATATTCTTTGATTTCGCAAAATCAGAAACCAACAATCATCCAACAAATCAAAGATGTTTTCAAAGAATATGTCAACAAAGTTTATCCTTATGTTTGGTTTAATTCCATAACACAATTGATTTCATGGATCGAACAACCATCTGAACTTTCGGAATTCATTCTTCAAATCATTTGTGAAGCCACGAAATGTCATCCTTCTTCTGCTTTATGGCATTTGATGTATGTTAATCATTCTTCATCCCCTTTGAGAAAAGAAAAATACGAAAATGTCATTGAAATGATATTAAAATCTTTCAAAAATGATGAAGAAAAGAATGATTTCCAAGTTTTAATACAAAAGTTTGTTAATATAACAAGTGGCTTAATTCAATTAACTGAATTACCATATCAAAGCAGAGAGACTATCAAAGTCAACGCCAGCGAGTTATGTCCTGAATTAGTTAAGAATTTCGACAATTGCCAGATTTCTATGCCGATAACATCAGCATTTCGTGATGACAGATTCAGTCGAACTCCAAAGATCTGTCAAATGGAAGAGCCAACATTAATTTTCATGTCACAGCAGCGTCCGAAACGAATTTCCTTGAGAGATGAAACTGGAAATTCCCATAGATTTCTCTGTAAAAGAGATGATGATTTACGAAAAGATATGAGAATGATGGAATTCGCGAGTTTCGTGAATAATGTTCTGGAAAGCGACAAAAAATGTCGACATAGACTTATTTCGATGAATGTATTTTCTATTGTTTGTTTGAATGAGAAAAATGGTTTAATTGAATGGGTGAATCATACTATTTGTTTCCGGAAGATTTTAAACGAATTGTATGAGAGTCGAAACTTGGGAATGCCTTTGAACGACATTTTAGACATTTTAGGACAAGATTCTCGCTACAATCCACAGAAGAAATGCCAATTGTTTTGTGAAAAGATTATTCCAAAATTCCCTCCTTTATCACATCTTTGGTTTTTAGACAATTTCAAAGATGCAAGTCAATGGTTTGTTGCCAGACAAAACTACACTCGATCAACAGCTGTTTGGTCAATGGTTGGCTACATTGTTGGTTTAGGAGATCGACATCTCGAGAACATTTTGTTCAATAAAACAAATGGCTCAGTTGTTCATGTCGATTTCTGCTACATGTTCGATAAAGCAAAGACACTTCCAACTCCAGAATGTGTTCCATTCAGACTCACACAGAATGTTGTCGATGCAATGGGGGCTTTAGGAGTTGAAGGAAGCTTCACGTCCAGCTGTATTTTAATGATGGATTCCCTTAAAGCCAAAGCGAATAAAATCGTCACAACACTTCAGACATTTGTTCAAGATCCTCTTCTCGAATGGAAGAAAGTTTCAAAAGATTTTGAAGAAATGGCTGCTCAAAGAACAATCAAAGAAGTTGAAAGAAGAGTAATGGGTTTCTCAGAAGATAGAGCAAGGAAATTTTCAACGGAATTCTTTGTTAGGGACTTGATTCAGAAAGCTCAGGACCCTAATAACTTATCAAGAATGTGGGAAGGCTGGCAAGCTTATCTATAAATAATTTGTTATTAATCTATATTAGTAAAATTATATTATTTCATGGTAATATTTTTTTTGATACTGCATTAAATAAATTTAATTAAGGATGTCGGAATTGTTAAAAACGCAAATTCTATCAAGATTTAATTCTCAATTTTCCCCATTCTTGATTATATTTAAATTAAAATTTAGTTTTCTTTTTACTTCTTTGTGACTAAAATAATGTAAAAAATTACTATATTTTTCCTTAGATTTGAATGATAGAATTTCCGAGAATTTTAGCGGTTTTAACCATAACAGACTTTTAAAATTAAATAAACAATTTATGTAAATTAGACTTGATTTTTATCACATGAAACCGTTTTTTCCTAACGGTAACATATAGTCATCTCAAAATCGCAGTTGAATAGCAATTCAATTTTTTGAGAGAAAAAACGTGCATGAAATGCAATATGATTTAATTATATTGATAATTCAAAATAAACATTTTGAATATTGAATAAATGTAAACATCTAATTTTGTTAGTCCTGTCTTTCTCATAAATTAATAACAGTATGCATCATGGATTGCTTGGTTTTATTAAAAAATTGCAATTTAGGTCACATTTTTAATCATTAATATTTTGAAACTCAAAATCAAGACATTTTAATGAATTTTGATATATTACAGTTAGTTTCTGCATCAATTCTGATGAAACAATGCAATTTCAATTTTCTGAACAAAAAATGCTCGTTTATTATTTTCGTTGTATGATGGATAAATGAATTAACAAGCCGAAAAGCAATCCCAAACTAACAGAAAATGGATACTTTTCCATTTGCGTTAAAAGGTCAAGTAGAATTTCTTAATTTGCCATCAAATTCAAATCATTTCCTGTTGGATGTTTCCATTATTTGTATGGTCACATTGTTTTTTGACTACAAATCTGAATCTCTAGTAACAAAGTTCAAAATTCTTCCAAATCAAAATTTTATTTTGGATTTTTTTCCGAATTACAAAATTTCATTTCGAAAAGAGGATACTACATGGAAGCTAGTATGTATTCCTTAATTTTGACCCAAAATCAATTGGATTTAATTGATAATTCCTATCGTCTTTTTTTCCAAAAAAACTATTTATTATTATTCTTTGTCTTGTATATAGATAGTAAAAATCTTCGTCTTAAAACTTTTCTTAATCTCATAGAAAAAAAAGCCCTCAAATTAAGCGTCCAGAGCCTTACCCTCTCAATCAAAATTAGAGTAGTGAGGTTTACAAATCCCAATTCAATACACAGAGGTTTACATTTTATATTGAGGGGCCCTCACTACTGAGATTTTGGGAGCACTATAAAATATTTGATCTCAGTTTTTGTGTTAATACACTATTTAATCAATATTGAGTTAATTTTAATCCAAGTAAACTAAATAGAATTTAGTAATTTCAAATAAATTCAATCTTCAGAAAAGAACATAAATGGAATTTCTTACTTTCATAACAGTCTAACCTAAACACCATTTATAAATAAGTTTTGAAAATCAATATTTTTAAAAACCATTGAATTTTAAAATCTGACAAAATTTTGTCAGATTTTTACTTCATATTTGCTTATGTCTGGCCAGCAAAAGAACCATGTATACTCACATAAGAGATTCGCCCAAAACTCCACAAAAATCAACACCAATAATCTATCTAAAGACCAGCAGTATCATTTAAGATTCCTTGATGGTTTTGATCCCGACAAAAGCCATTCCTATCCAATGATCAAAGGCTTCCCACTGGATAGAATTAAATTCATGATATCACAATTTGAATATCTTAATAATATCCATAAACTCCAAACCTTGCCTTCAACACGTGAACCAAGAAAGAGTAAGATGGCCGCTGCTTACTACTTTGACAAAAATCAAGATCTTTTTGACCAAATTTTTAGCGATCCATCTCTTGAGATTCATGATTACCCTTAAAAATTAAAATACCCAGATTTTCCTTACTTTTACCACCTCTCTAAAGCTTGGGACACCGCCTATCGTTGGGAGTAGCTATTAAATAGAACCACCAAGGGTATTTTTCGAACTGCCGGTGTAGTGTAGTGGAAGCATCCGACATAATGATTCATTATGCCAAGGTTTGATTCCCATTTAGCCAAATTTTTTCTTTTTTGGATCATGAATTTTTTTTGGGTCACTATAAGATTTGTTTCATGTTCTAAATCTGCTGCATATGTAATCTATTTTTATTTACCTATTTTTTAAAAATCTATTGGATTGCCAAATTTGAATATATTTAAAATCATAAAACTCCAAAAAAACTATAAATATATGTTTTATGCATAGTGCCGATACTCAAATATCAGATTACTTAGATCCATGAATAATATCCGAATTTTTTTTCTTAAAATTAAACTTCAAAACTTCTTCCAATCTTATTCTTAATCAATTGTAAATTTTTAAAACCATTTTTTAAAATAATTTTGCGTAAATTTTATTCTCATGTTGTTTTAATCGAAAATTGATACATTTTCAAAAAAATAATATTGACTTATGAAATTCATTTTTAAGGTGAAATAGTATTGTTTTTATTAAAGTATATGAATAATATATAAAAAATTAATGAATAATATAAGCAGATTTTTAGTTTACAAAACAAATATGAGCAATGCAATTTCAAACTTTTGCTGGCAATTTCGATATTGCTCAAGTTTGTAGTATTTGTGATACCTATAACATCGGCTTAATCAAAATTCGATTTTTCTTATGAGTTATTGAGAAAATTTGATTGCAATGAGAAGGATTTCGACGTTTTTGATAAACTAAGAGCTGAGCTTTAGGGGTTCAGTTCATTTATGGCTGTAGTTTGATGCGTAGATCTCTTTTTTATTGTAAATTCTTTCAGCATGGAGATCTAGAATGAATCTTTTGAGAACTTTATGAGTTTTTACACCCGTAAAGAGGTCCTTCGAGGAAAGATAGTCCAGACTACATGAAGATGTGGGTTAACCAAAAAAATCCGATGGTTTCCCCATATTCATGTAGATCTTCGAAAAAATGAGCACTAAAAAAGCCAAAAAAATAGGCTTTTTATTGGATTTGTACACTAGATCAATAATCTATTTAGGATCTGACACTCTTTTTAGCCAGAGATATGAGGTCCTTTCTAGGAAAACGATCTATTCATCCATAAAAAAAATGAATTATCTTTTTCCCCAGAAATTACATGGGGAGTGGTAAAAGTAAGGAAAATCTGGGTATTTTTTTAGATAACTTTTTTTATAATTATATTGTATATGACAACATTAATGTATTAAAACTTCGGATTTGAGGCCATTCACAAAGTAGTTCTTTCAAGATCTTGAAAAATTTAGAAGATCTTGAAAGAACTGCTCTCTAAATGACTGTAGCTTCAGTATTGTTACTATCGAGTAGAAAGTTATGGTAATTACTGTCATTTTAAGAGTAGTTCTATCAAGATCTTCCAAATCTTCGAAGATCTTAAAAGAACTGCTCTCTAAATGGCAGTAGTTTCGATGTTAACATGATAATGTGCGTGAAAGTTTCGTATTTGAAGTTGCTTTCTAGTCCCTCCAAATCAGGAAGATTCAAGACAGAGCTGTTCTCTTATTGGTTGTAATTCTGAAACCTACGTTGGTAAATGCTTGATTTGAATTAGAGGCCGAGGATTGGGGGAAAATTATAAAAAAGAATTTCATGATAAAAACTAAGATTAATCTTGGTTTTGGCGGTTTCTCCCAAAAACAGAAAGGAAGCGGTCAGAAGCCCTAGGATTTTTATGGTATCATCCAAGGCATAAGGATTGTTTGACGTCACTTTTTGTTTGTTTTTATGATGCACGTTTAATAAAAAAAATGTTTTCATGGATAAAAGGAACAGTATCAAGATTAATCTGGGGTACTCCAAAAACTGAGGATATCAAGCAGCCTACCAACCAAGAAGAACAACCTGAAGTTGCTAAGTCAGAAGAACCCAAAAAGATCGACAATGATAAGAAAGAAGAATCAAAGCCAATTGCTACACCACAACAACCAAAACAGGCATCAAAGCCTGCTTTTGATCGTTCAATTTTTGTTCAAAGAAATAAAACTGATGAGGTCATTAAGAGAGTTCCTGGTCAAATCAACGGAAATCAATTTGTTGCCTCAGACTTGGTTAGATGCAAAGTTATCGTACAAGATTTTGTTGATTCAATGATCTTCGATAGATGTACAGATTGCGAGTTTATTTTATCTGCTGTGAGAGGATCTATTTTCGCTCGCACATGTACTAATTGCAAATTTGTCATGATTACTGGTCAATTCAGATGCCGTGATTGCAATAACTGCGATTTCTTCATGCATGTAAAGACAGGCCCAGTTGTTGAATCTTCACACTCAATAAGAATCGGTTGTGCCGAAATGAACTATCCAGAAATGTACGAACATATGAAGAAAGCCCAAATTCCAATATTAAATAACCTTTGGATTGATGTTTACAACTTCACACCACAAGATGGAGATTTCTCATACAACAGTGGTGCTAAATTACATCTTGAATTACAAGGAAATGAAGAATCTCTTGTTCCATTTACATATCAGAAGGATTCATCAAAGACATATTTCTCCTTCCAGTGCGCTCAAGATAAACAAGATGAATTGATCAAACTTTCTCATCAAGATGCAATTCATATCCATAAGATCACTGAAGAATCAGATTCTTTCACAGTTGTTGTTGAAGGAAAGGATGAAAATGAAGTTCAAACAGCCTTCTCAGCAGCTTCTATTTCTAACATCAAGAAGTTAGAATAAAACTATTTGTTTTTGGAAATTTTAATTTTTTTTTTATTTATATTGACGGAAATGATGATAAACTATTCAGTATTTACAATAACAAAGATCTAATAATCAGTGTCAATTTAGAACTCTGAATTTCTGATTTATTTATTTTATAAAAAATTGTATCAAATATACATAAAATTCAAACATTTATACGTGCCAATAATATAATGATTAATTTGAAATTGGGAGAAAAAAAAACAAATAAAAATTAATCATGAATTTTGACATCAACTGGGGATATTTTCTGACCAAAAGGACGATTGTAAGGATCTATCCTACCAGCTGCAACTTCTTGAAGTAATTTCGTAATGTATTCTTGTAATTTTTGAACATCTTCGTTAGAAAGGTTTTTCGTCATTAAATATATGCTTTGACCGACAACAACTTTATCGGGTTGTAATCTTTTAATAAATGCAGCCACTCTTGTTGCTAAGCCTGAAGTATAGCAAATTTTAATATCCTTTAAGAGCTTATTATAGTCTGTTTCTTGATGGGAACTAGCTAAGAAATATCGGGTTCCTAATTTTTTGCCTGCAATTTCTGTTTCGATTGTTTTTCGTTCCGGAATTGTTCCACTTTCTTCATATTCCTCACATGATGATAAAAGAGCCAAAGTAGTATTATAAAGAGGTGAATCTAAGCTTGCTAATATCTTTTCAAAATCGATTTTAATCTGAAGAGCTGCCGCATAACGAAGTGTTCCGGGTTGAGAAACATCAATGGAGTTATCTATAAACATTCTAATGTTTTTTAAGAAAAGTACCGAACTTTTGTATAGTTTATGTTCGAGTTTGTAGTGAATTTGGCTAAGTAAAATCGGATGAGTATTCCCTGGAGAAGAAACATCAACAGGCGTCTCCCAAAATATTTGTACAAGGCTAGACTGCATCAATTTCGAAAAAATAAACTTGCAAATGGCTTCATCTTGTTCATTCATTTTTAGAAAAGTGACAAAATAAAGAAATATCTCACAAACATTGTAAAATATGCATAATACATCAAGTGATTCAGCTTCAAAGTTCGAACTAAACCTTAGTGCGACTTCTCAACCTAGTATTATGGAAGAAGAATTCAATTTAACATATAAATCCTATGATGCAAAGAAAAATTTACTTGAACATCGAGCAGAAGAGCAAAAACGTCTTTTTTCAGAGAGATGTTATGCAGAAGGCACGTCAATGTTTATTTTAAACGAAAAATTAAAACGAATTAAAGTCATTCAAGAGAGATTACAAGAATTAAAAGGCAATAAGAATTTAATGCCTACAGAACAAGAAGTTCGTGATGCTTTATATAGAAATAAACTCGAAGCAGAAATGATTAGTCCAGACCCTGAATTAGGAGTCAATCAACTTATTGAAGATGATTTAACTACGAAAATAGCAGATGAAATTCGAATACCTCAACTCAAAAACAAAATTTTTGAATTAGAATTGAAGAAGAAAGCTCTAATGCTATTGGTTGATAAAATCCTTCAACAAGATCAAGCGTAGACCTTTTCTAAGTATATGTAGCCCTGTTTTTCACGTATTATTGTAATAAAATATTATATTTTCTACTTTAGACTCTTTAAGTCAAGATATTGCAAATAAGCAACTAATATTGAAATAATAGAAATGGATCATGTTCACCTTTTATCATAGAATAATCCAAAAAAAATTAAAATTTTGAGAAATGTTACTTAGATTTGCCGATTATGTTCAAAAGAAAAACATAAAGCCGAAGAAACCATAGTATCAAAGATAAACAGAAGGAAAGAAATAAAAAAATGTGACAAAAATGTTATTTTTCTTTCTTTTTTCGGACTCTTTAGAGAAAAGACGTCGAAGAGACAGACATCAGCATCGCGATTATCAATATTTTAGACCTGAGCAAGAAATATTCCCACCAGATCAAATTCAAGGATCTTGTGACGGTGCGAATACAATTAGAATTTTATCAGGTGAATGCAAATGTGCACAAGGATTTCCGTTTGGAGATCCATCAGGCATTCAAGGATGCTGGAATTGTGAAGATGATTGCAATGATGACGCTAAATGCATTTATCCTGGAATTTGTCAATGCATTCCGGGATTTAAAGGCGATGGTGTCAGAGAATGCGAGCCAATAACTCCTAAATTACTTTCTTTTTATCCAAAATCAGGAAAGGCAGGAACAAATATCAACATTTCGTATTCCATGCTCAATAACTCTAATCCGTTAAATGCTTACTGCAAATTTGGATCAATACCTATCGATGCTAAATTTGTAACATCAAATTACATCATTTGCGAAGTTCCAAAAATGAAATCCGAAGATGCTTTACTTACCATCTCACTAGATGCAATGGCATGGAGTACTGAAGAATTCTATTTCAAAGTTAAAGGTGAATCTGATCCTATAAGACTTTTCCCCTTCATTTTAGGTTCAATCGTAATTGTCGGTACTATTTTATACGCATTAAACAAGGTAGCAGGAGATACTCGTAAAAAGAAGTATGATGATCATGTTCCTTTCCTTAAACTAGGCTCAAAGAAAAATGATGGAATATCTCCATTTGAATTATTCAAGAAGAAAGGAAAATTGCTTATTTAATCGTTGTGTGTTTTAGATGAGTTACTATTTGGGTAACATAGGAATTAAATGTGTTTATATAAAAAAATATTTCAATACGATTTCATTTTGAATCATATATAAAGCGTGCATACTCTCATTTTTGTTTTGACTATACAAATTGTTGAAAATGTATCATTAAGTTTAATTGAAATTTTCAAATTTGTGACTGCCCAGCTCATAAGGTATTTGATTTCTAGGAGAAATATGGCTGCTTTTTATAATAATGAATTCAGTATGCATTGGGAAATTATAACTCAAATTTGATATGTACAAATTTGGAGTTTTTGTAAAAATAAAAAAATAGAATTTGAATTGAAAATAGAAATTTTAAATCGTTTGCAAGTATTCGAAATGCGAGCAATTTTTAAAATTAAAATCACGAAATAAGCTGCTTTTCCAAAGATATATATAGTCAAAAATCAAAATCTTCACTATTGTAATCTGCTTCCATCATTATCTTTTTCGTTGATAGCTATCTCTTTTCTATTATTCTTTGCTGCATTATGAAGAACTGTTTGTCCATTTTCATCCTTTTCGTTAATATTGGCACCATGTGAAATAAGAAGTTCGCAGATTTCTTTATGATTCTCTATTGTTGCATAATGAAGAGCAGTTTTTTCATTTTCATCCTTTTCATTGATATTGGCACCATGTGAAATAAGAAGTTCGGACAGTTCTTTTCCAAAAGAACGTGTTGCTGAATAATGAAGAGTGGTTTTTCCATAATTATCTTTTTCATTGATATTTATACCATGTGAAATAAGAAATTTGGCGGTTTCTGTGTCTTGAAAAAATGGTACATAATGAAGAGCAGTTTTTCCATAATTATCTTTTTCATTAATATTTGCACCATGTAAAATAAGAAATTCGGCTATTTCTTTGTTGTTGCTTTTACTAACTGTATAATGAAGAGCTGTTTGTCCGTTGTTATCTTTTTCATTGATATTTGCACCATGTGAAATAAGAAGTTCGGCTACTTCTTTATGATTCATAGATGCTGCTTGATAAAGGGCAGTTTTCCCATCAGCATCTTTTTCATTGATATTTGCACCATGTGAAATAAGAAGTTCTGCTATTTCTATACAATTATTCTCTGCTGCATTATGAAGAGCGGTTTGCCTGAAATCATCTTTTTCATTGATATTTGCACCATGTGAAATAAGAAGTTCGCAGACATCTTTATTAACATTCGCTGCTGCAAAATGAAGAGCGGTTTTTCCATTATTATCTTTTTCGTTGATATTTATCCCATGTGAAATAAGAAGTTCGCAGATACCTTTATTTTCCCATGATGCTGCATTATGAAGAGCAGTTATCCCAAAAACATCCTTTTCATTGACATTTGCACCATGTGAAATAAGAAGTTTGATTACTTCTATATCGTTGATAAATGTTGAAATATGAAGGGCGGTTTGCTTATGAACATTCTTTTCATTGATATTTATACCACGCGAAATAAGAAATTTCGCTGCTTCTTTACAATTATTCCATGATGCTTTATGAAGAGCGCTTTCTCCATTGTGATATATTGCATTGTGATTTTTTGCATTGATATCAGCACCAAGCGAAAGGAAATATTCGCAAAGGGATGGAATATCAAACACTGATGAATAAACAAAACATTCGTTAATATCATTAGTTCGATCGAAATAAACTAAAAATGATTCAAGATTTTTATATTCTCCGCAATATTCTAATTCGATCTTTATATTGTATTCATTCATCAAGAATGTAACAAAATCAATGTTGTGCGAAATAATTGCATATTCCATCCAAAAATTATTTGTTTTTTTATATTTCAAACATTCACTAATGATCTCTTGATTTCCTCCTAAAAATGAAAGCGGAAGACATCCTTGAGTCATTTCTGAGTAAAATGTTGCATCTGAGGAAAAATTTCGTTCTTAAGTATTTGAAACAGTCAACAGCTCCATAGTAACAGCATAATTCAAGTAATGAATATCCACTGTTATTATTTATATATAAATCGCTTTTAAGATTTTTACTTAGATGAAAACCTTCTCTTTCGGTGAATGCAATGAATCTTTCTATGTCATTATACATAATTGCTCTGTAAATTGTATCTTCTGTAAGAACATCCAGATTTTCTGAGTTAATTGCTTTAAAATTGGCAGATTTGTCTAATTTAATTCCATATTCTTTATAAAACAAGAAGTTTGAAACACGATTAACATTTTTGACCTCTTGGATATGATAATCATCACATATGAATTTCGCAAGAGATAAATATGACTTTGTATAGCGATTATTATACGGAATGATATTCAAAATATCGCTGATAATATTTTCTGCTGGGAGTTGATTTGAATCGATCAATTCTGTTTGGATCTTTTTGTAAATATTGTTGAGTTCTTCTTCTTTTTCAGTTTTAAGCTGATACAATGCATTATATAAATCAATGTAGTATTTGAACTTACTTCGCATTTCCCCATATTTGCTTGGATGAACGTCTTGATCAGACATTAATCGTTTTTATAAATAACGCGTTTGTATTTTACTTTATAAAATATCTTTAATATTCATTAAGAGAAAAAGATTCTATGTCATACTTAGGAAAAACAATGATATCACAGATTTCGGAAATTAAAAATATACTCTGAACTTTTTCAGAGCTGTGCTCAGAGTATATTGGAATGCCAATCACTTCAAATTGTTTTGGGCATTACAAATTCATGAAAAAATGGGACCCAAAAAAATTTGAATTGATGGGTATTAAATTATGTATTTTTATTAAGTTTATAGATATAAAATGACATAATGCCAATGTTAAAGTAAAAGACATAAGATAGATCCATTAATCAACATGGAATATCAATATACAGTCAGAATTTAATTGAGAATTTTTAATTTGAGAGGGCCGTCTTATCAAAAAGTGGTATAAACTTCTCAATTTGGCGGCTTTTTCGATGACGAAATTATTAACTTTTTTAACTCTATAAATTTTAAATATTTATTCGAATAAACAAGATAAGCATGATTTACATTCAGTACAAGCTCTAACTTTCAAGTTTGAAATGCTGTGCAAGAGAAGAATTACTTGACTTCAAAATAAATTTGAAGTTAAAATCAAAATGAACGGATACTGACATTTACAATGGCGTAGATATTAAGTTTGCATGAACATTTTCTAGACTAAGCGATTGCTTTTTTTTAATTTTCAATTTTTTTTAAAATGTAATAAGCTACAGGTACGGAAACTTTATTTTAATTGCGCTAACTTGTTTGAAAAAATAAACGATATGTGTGAATTAAAGATATAAGATGAAATCGAATGAAATCTTTTCGGGTTTTCGTCATTTCGATTTGGAAATTGTTTTGACTACAGCTGCCATAGAGTTATATCTGGAAGAAATTGAAGGAAGGTTTTTGGTTTTGGGGAATTTGGGAATAAGTCAAGATTCCAAGTTACTTAAGAGAGCTTGGTTTATTAAAAGCATTAGCAGCGAAATGAGTATTGTCCAAATTGAATGCAAGAAAGGAGAGATGATAAAATTGAAAAGATAGATGTGTGAATAATAATTATAAAATTAAACGTGCATAAAAAATAATAAAAGAAGTAAAAAAAAGAAAATTGAAAGTTTTATGATATTATCGATATAAAAGAGAAATTAAATGATAAATTGGGAAATTGTAACAAATTAAAAATTCGATTTGTTCAATATTGACAGACATGAATGCATATTGCACTCATATGAGGCATATGTTGACATAATCAGTATCTTTTAATCCATTGCACTTATCATTGCCAATTATTGACGAAATATGAATTTGATTTCGTCAATGTTGACAGACATGAGTGTATATTGCGCTCATGTGAGTAACATGTTGACTTTGTGGTACACACAAGATGTATGTATCATAGAATGTCAAATATTGTCGAAATGTGAATTTGATTTCGTTAATCTTGAAATATCACTCATTTTTTTAAACAATATAAATTTATTCAAACAATTTACATGGTATTTCATATAAAAAAAAATAAAAAAAATCGAATCCAAAAGAATCACATGCATGATCATGCACGAAAATAATCAAATTACAATTCCCGTATTCATGGACTGATAATAATCTACTCGGCAAGGAATCAAAACTTTATTATATATACTAATTAGGGCTGCTATCAATTTTTGCCAATCAGTTTTAAATAGATGAATCTGTTAAGGGTGCACTTACGCCCCTATGGCATGGCCTTCAATTCATATGTTTAAGGTTAATTTTCAATGGCGCTTCACGCCAGTTGTCAAAAATTTGAATTAAAGTCAGATGGGCGTAAGTGCAGCCTTAAAAGAATCTTGAAAACTCCTGAATAATTGTTTTATTGCTAGCTAGAATGTCGAAATGTTGTACATTTAAAAATGCTGATAATATTAATTGTTAATGATATGTATCGGGTCTTTTTAAATAAGTTATTAACTTGTCTTCGGAAGCGTCGAATATAATATGAACACGATGCCAATGTGGCAGATCGTAACTATCTGGATTTTTTAAAATATGATCTCCTAATTCCGAATCAGCTTCTAAATTATCAGGAAATCGTTCTTCGACATAGTGATTTAATTCGGTAAATTGAAATCCATCTATAAGCTGAATTTTCCTAATATACCAACGCTGTTTGATATTTTTAATTAGTTGGTCTTTCACATTATTGTTTGGAATGCATTTTAAGCTCTTAATCATTGCTTCAAATTTTGATGCAATTGAATCAATCTGGTTTTTAATGTTTTCAATGATTAAACCAGATTCCATCGGTTTGTTGCAAAAGGCGCATTGAACTGAATCCTTTCTAAGATCAACATAAAGCATTGATTGAGATTTGTTACAATTTTCGCATGAATATGATATTTTTATCATCGGGATAATTATAATCCTCTCTTTTGTATAAATTATAAAATTATCCGTCGATCTTTGAATTTCATATGGCATCAATATATCTATTTGGATATTAGTTTTATTTCGAATTGATTCATTAATTAGTTTGCATTTTTCAACAAAATCTTTGTGCTTAAAGGTTGTTGGATTATCAATAAACAAGTCTTGATGAGTCTTAAAGAAAAGACAATGTTCATGTTCGAGTAACGATCTTTGAATGATAAAATCAATTCTCCCAAATTCATCTTGCATTAATTGAGATATAGAATGAATATAGTTATCTGAACAATTATTGAGTAAATGCATGCAGATTATTCCAGCAATTGTATTATATGCTTTTAATTGAACTTTTTTTGATTTGATCAACCTCAAAATCTCCTTTTTGTCAACTATGTTTTGATCCTTTTCTTTTTGGTCATTTTCAGACCCTATTAGAGAGATATTTTTTGCCAAAGCTGGTGATATTGCGAACTTATTTCTTGATGAATCTCAATTAATTTATTGAGACACTCAGGAACCAAAGATACATTGTTGTTCAGGCAACGACATAAAATCTCGAGATAGGGTAAGGAGTATGGAACTTTAATAAAAGATCTGTTATGATTCCAGCTTATAAACTCATTTCTTTCAATGAATATATTATATTCAAGAATATTTTTTGATTTTGAGTTTATATCAGGAATAATCGAATCCTCTTCATACATATTATTTGCAACAAATGAGTTCCCGAGATTAAAAATATTGGCAGATAGAATATCACACCATGTTAAACCTGTAATTTTTGAAATTTCGTTGGTAAAATGAAGAATTCTATATTTTTTTATAATTAAGTTTTGACTGGTTGCTAAGAATTGGCTGCTTTGATATAAAAGGGTAATATCATGCTTAATTTCATTAATATATTCAAAATATGAATTCAAAGAAGGAATTTGATCATTACTTAATTCAGTAAGTATTTCAGTTAAAGTACATGTGTGCATATAAAAATAGTTGTCAAGAATGTCGATTAAATACACTGGAATTATACATCCAAATACATCCTTCACTTCTGCTCGATTTATTGGAGAATGAATTTCGCCCCAACTTCTTTGAATGAAACCAATATGATCAAGTAAATTAATTTCATGAAAGGCAATTCTATTGATTAATCCTACAAAATCACTAATAATGCAATTATATCCGAATATAAAATCAGGTCTGTGCTTAATGAAATCTTCTAAAAATCGACTGAGCATTTTTTTTCTCGGAATTATCTATATATAAATTAGGCATTTGAATATTTTTACTGGAAACTGCATATGTTATAGTTTCGCATGTATCGTAAATATTACTTATAATATTGTATCCTTTTTGTACCGAGAGGGTAATCATTAAAGCTTCTCCTTCATTGGTAAAAGAAACAACAAAAGTTGCAATAGTAAATGTTGGAGTTTCATCTATATCTAGAGGCTCAAAAATATCCTGAGAACTCATATTATGTAAGTCGACTTCAAGCTGCCCATTCGCTTTGATTTTTACCCATTTTGCTGTTGACAAATGATGCTGCTTATAAAAATTGTCATATAATGTTTGACTTCTTCCAATAACTGCGGAATAATGGTTTCCAGAAGCAAGAAAATTTTGATTTGTATTATTTGTTAATTCAACTGATATAACTTCTAACATATCATTCTGCGAGAATAATTTAAAAGGGTTCTTTTTGGATTTTAGTTCCAAATTTGATAGATTTTGCCCTGCTAAATCTCTAATTTCTTGAGCACATTCATCAAATTTAGACTTTGGAATAAAATCCAGTTTATAAACTTGATTTTTCACTGATATAACAATTGTAGAATATTGATTGTTAGCACTTGATTTGATCTTTCCTATTAAATATATTATATCATCTTGTTCGAGGATGTGCATTAAATAGAGGCAGATTTCTGAAGGATTTGGATGATAAGCATTAATGATACTTGTCAGCTTTGGCAAAAATCTATTAAGGTATACACATGATTTCAATCCATTAAATTGAAGAAATTCAGTATTTAAAATTCTTTTATAAAACAGCATTCCAACTTGACCATGCATTGCTTGATCATGACCTGATAAAGGACATTTACGATTATTTATAATAATTGCTATTTCATCAAATGTTAGTGTATAATATTTATCAGCATCAATTAATATCCATTTGCATGTGAAAGGATGATAATGATCTGTGCAAATGTAAATATAAAAATGATTTGTCGAATGAGCAACAATCGCGCTAATTCTATATTCATATGGTGAGCCTTCAATTCTCCAAAATCTATACAAATCTATCCTTAAACAATCAACATCAATAACTAAGTAAGGAGGAGTTTTCTTGCAGGCGATATTTTTGCAGGAAGAATTAATTGCGATAAAATACGAATAATCTAATGCTTTGAAAAGAGGATCAAAGAATTGCATGTGTAAATCTTCATTGAACAGTTTATCGCTTCTTTGCATAAATTCTTCTGGATTACTCATGCGAGTTATTGCAGAATGACTTTTAGTGTTATAATATGTTATCAAGAGATTTTTAATATCATATACATCTTTGAAATCTCGATTAATAACTGCTTCAATTTCTGAAATAAGCTTGTATGCACGCGTATTATGCTTATCCTCAGGTATACTTGCTTTGAATGCTGCAATATACTTGTGGATTTCTGTTGAAAATGTTACTAAAAGCATTTCATTGTCAGAATCATGCTGTTTTTTCTCAGTAGGATCCATGTATACAAACAATTGAGGTAAGAATGATTGTGTTTTCAGCTCAATTTCTTGTTTCAAAATATCAGTTTCATTAGTATCCGGTTGAACAATTAACGAAGCAAGTTGTGTTTCATTTAATCGTAAATTCAAATTAATGAATTTTCTACCTTTATTGTCTTTAAGGCATTGGGTGTTTCCAAATAAAATTGGGTTATCCATTATTGATGATTGAACATCAGCTTTCAAAAGAATTTGATCTTTAACATGTGATTCAATGATCTTATTATCATTTTCGTTAATGCCACATGGTACAGGACCTTCATCAACTTCGCCAAATATCATGCCTAAAGAATCTGACTGATTTCTGTATGATTCATTATCATTTGGCAAAATTTTTTCAAGCAAAGAATCATCATTTTCGTTAATGCCACATGGTACTGGGCCTTCGTCAACTTCGCCAAAAATCGTTCCTATAGAATTTGTCTGAATACTGTTTTCTTGAGATAACGTTGCAGGAGCAGGAAGAGTAATAGCTGAAACGTCAGAAGCGATCTGCTTATCATGTGTACTTTGTTTGTGATTTGAAGATTTCTTATTTGATGAACTCATTAAATTTGCATATGCATCATATTTACTAAAATTCTCCAAAAATTGTTTTTGTAATCCAATAAGATTCTTCGATTCTTGATTTAAAAGATTCAGTACATTTCTAATGACAAATACAGAATCGTAATTAATTGACTTTTTATCATATAGTATAAAATTACTGAAATTTAAAAGGTTCTGAATATGAAATTGTTGAATTAAAGCAGAATTAAATACTTGTTGAGAATTTCTAGTCAAAGCAAAATGATCCTGCCGTGTTTGATATTTGATGACAGCTGCAGTGGTTTTTGGTTTTTTTACTTGATTCGTTTTAGTATAATCACAAACAATTGGAAAATCTGACATTCCTATTTTATCTTCGTGAATTGGAAATTCTTGTTTTGCAGCAGCACTGTGATAGCAAGTTTTGACATCCGGCTTATATGTGCTGTCTTTAATTTTCCTTTTGCGTTTTGAAGGTTTTTTTTGGTTTTGAGAATTCACAAATTTGAGCCATTCTTCATTTTTTTGAAGTTTTGATAAAAGATCATCATATTCTTCTTGGGATAGAGCAGATCCTTTTATATCATTATCTTCTAATCCACTTTCACTTGACTCATCATTTTCATATCGTATTTTCATTTTCTCGATCTTTTTATTACCATTGTATTTCAGTAATAACTTTTGAAATTCTTTTTTTCCGATTGAATTTTTTACTCTCTTTAATTCTTCAATGTGCATGGTATCAAAATCTTTAGCAATTTCGGTCCAATTTCCGTTATTCAGAGCATAACTATGAATTAACTTTACACGGGTATTGGCATCCCAAATAATTCTTCTCTCTAATTCTCTTATTCGATTGTCAAAGTTTGCAAACTCAAATTCGGATAAAGTGGTTGCAAATACTTGAGATTCAAAAGGGTCTGGACAATCTGGGATTCTGGCAATAATTTTGTTAATATCATCTTCTGTATATTTCTTTTCTTGCTTGATTTTTGTATAACATTCACCGTCATTTGCCCATACAACCGCCAGGCGTTTTTTAAATGATTTGTAAATGCTATTAATAAAATCGAGTGTAATATGCTGATTCCAAATTGTTACGATCCTTTTTTGGAGATCTGATAAATCTTTAATTTCTCGTTCAAGAATTGAATCAAATAAAATTTTTTAATAACGTTCAGATCAGGTGAATTGCTTGGCCATTTCAAAATAACACCAATATGCTTTCTTATAAAGTTATATGCATATTCAGTAACGTGAATGGTTGCTGAATCTTGAATCAAAATTGGAATTTCTCCTTCTTTTGTTCTGTTTTCAATTTCTTCCAACACACCATTATCTTCTAATATTTTGATATATTCATATTGATTCATTGCATTAGAACAAAAAAACAATTTGGATTTATAATCCTTGGAAATACAGGCCCATATCATAGCTGATAGATTATATTTTTTTGTCTCTAAATATTCGGGGTCATCTTGATCAAACCATTGTTTCATGTGATTTGGTAATTCTTGACAACGAAATTCATCACTTGGATAAAAAACCCAGTTATCATCCCAATTTTTCAACAAGCATGCACAAAAATCTACTCTACGCGCTTTTTGTTGTTTGGATAATTTAGGTAGCTTTGGGAGGAGTCCATAATCATATCTTAATAAATGTAATGCTTCTCCAATTTTTGTTAATGATATAGCCAATCTAAATTCCTTAATTAAGTTGATTTGTATTGCCTGTCGTGTGACTTTTTTAATTTTCGTTGTGACTTTTAAAATATTTGTCAAACTTTCAGCATTTAGAACTGGTTTGGGACCCCTCTTTTTTCAGGAGGATATGTATTATTTTCATTCCAATATTGAATTGTTTCGTTTACATGTTTAGTACCTGTGTTAGTTAATTTTGCTATAGTCGTAACAGGTAATCCACAATTATTAAGAAAAACAATTTGTCTATCAGCAGTTTTTAAGCTTTGAACCAAAGAAATTAGTTCAGTACAGCTTGCTAAGTTAGACAAAGTTGGATAAAATGTCAGATTTAACGATGGAAATGACTTAACATTTAGGTATGGAAAATGTTATATTAAAGAGTGGTTAAAGAAAATGAAGCTGAATTAATTAAAAATGAGAACAAATTAATTTTAAATAAAAAGATGATGGCTGAAAGTATGAAGAATACAATGTAGAAATCGAATGTTAGATGTACTTAATAAAATAAAGAAAAGTTTGTAGAATGACAGATATTGAATAAAAAAAAATAGAGTCAAATAATAGATATCAATACGGTAGTATAAGAGAATTGAGGTTAAAATGAAATATTGATGGATGTCGGTCAAGATTAAAGAAATCAAATTAATGTTTCGTCAACATTTAAGATTTTATTAGACAAACATATTAGACGTATCATATGATCAGCATTTGACTCACATGGGCACAATTAACACTGATTTTTGAAAAGATTAACAAAATGAAATTGATATATCGTCAATATTTGAAAATGAGAAGTGAGAGGGATTGTGATAGTCATTATTTGTCGAGATCTTCGTCATATTATAACAATTTGAGTGATACTTCATAAAGTTGAATCAAAGACAGTCATTATTATAGAATGATTGTCTTTGTTCGCAATAATCACGTGTTATTCATGTATATACACGTGATTGTTGCAGATAATTCAACTTTTTTAGAATCATTTCTGATTCTTCATAAAGTTGGATCAAAGACAGTCATTATTATAGAATGATTGTCTTTGTGTGCAACATTCACTTGTGTTGACAACAATAACATGTGATTGTTGTTCATAATGCAACTTTTTTTAGAATCATTTCTGATTCTTCATAAAGTTGAATCAAAGACAGTCATTATTATAGAATGGTTGTCTTTGTTCGCAATAATCACGTGTTATTCATGTATATACACGTGATTGTTGCAGATAATGCAACTTTTTTTAGAATCATTTCTGATTCTTCATAAAGTTGAATCAAAGACAGTCATTATTATAGAATGATTGTCTTTGTTCGCAATAATCACGTGTTATTCATGTATATACACGTGATTGTTGCAGATAATGCAACTTTTTTAGAATCATTTCTGATTCTTCATAAAGTTGAATCAAAGACAGTCATTATTATAGAATGATTGTCTTTGTTCGCAATAATCACGTGTTATTCATGTATATACACGTGATTGTTGCAGATAATGCAACTTTTTTTAGAATCATTTCTGATTCTTCATAAAGTTGAATCAAAGACAGTCATTATTATAGAATGATTGTCTTTGTTCGCAATAATCACGTGTTATTCATGTATATACACGTGATTGTTGCAGATAATGCAACTTTTTTTAGAATCATTTCTGATTCTTCATAAAGTTGAATCAAAGACAGTCATTATTATAGAATGGTTGTCTTTGTTCGCAATAATCACGTGTTATTCATGTATATACACGTGATTGTTGCAGATAATGCAACTTTTTTTAGAATCATTTCTGATTCTTCATAAAGTTGAATCAAAGACAGTCATTATTATAGAATGGTTGTCTTTGTGTGCAATAATCACGTGTTATTCATGTATATACACGTGATTGTTGCAGATAATGCAACTTTTTTTAGAATCATTTCTGATTCTTCATAAAGTTGAATCAAAGACAGTCATTATTATAGAATGATTGTCTTTGTGTGCAACATTCACTTGTGTTGACAACAATAACATGTGATTGTTGTTCATAATGCAACTTTTTTTAGAATCATTTCTGATTCTTCATAAAGTTGGATCAAAGACAGTCATTATTATAGAATGATTGTGTTTGTGTGCAACATTCACTTGTATTGACAACAATAACATGTGATTGTTGTTCATAATGCAACTTTTTTTAGAATCATTTCTGATTCTTCATAAAGTTGGAATCAAAGACAGTCATTATTATAGAATGGTTGTGTTTGTGTGCAACATTCACTTGTGTTGACAACAATAACATGTGATTGTTGTTCATAATGCAACTTTTTTTAGAATCATTTCTGATTCTTCATAAAGTTGAATCAAAGACAGTCATTATTATAGAATGGTTGTCTTTGTGTGCAACATTCACTTGTGTTGACAACAATAACATGTGATTGTTGTTCATAATGCAACTTTTTTTAGAATCATTTCTGATTCTTCATAAAGTTGGATCAAAGACAGTCATTATTATAGAATGGTTGTCTTTGTGTGCAACATTCACTTGTGTTGACAACAATAACATGTGATTGTTGTTCATAATGCAACTTTTTTTAGAATCATTTCTGATTCTTCATAAAGTTGATCAAAGACAGTCATTATTATAGAATGATTGTCTTTGTTCGCAATAATCACGTGTTATTCATGTATATACACGTGATTGTTGCAGATAATGCAACTTTTTTAGAATCATTTCTGATTCTTCATAAAGTTGAATCAAAGACAGTCATTATTATAGAATGATTGTCTTTGTTCGCAATAATCACGTGTTATTCATGTATATACACGTGATTGTTGCAGATAATGCAACTTTTTTTAGAATCATTTCTGATTCTTCATAAAGTTGAATCAAAGACAGTCATTATTATAGAATGGTTGTCTTTGTTCGCAATAATCACGTGTTATTCATGTATATACACGTGATTGTTGCAGATAATGCAACTTTTTTTAGAATCATTTCTGATTCTTCATAAAGTTGAATCAAAGACAGTCATTATTATAGAATGGTTGTCTTTGTGTGCAATAATCACGTGTTATTCATGTATATACACGTGATTGTTGCAGATAATGCAACTTTTTTTAGAATCATTTCTGATTCTTCATAAAGTTGAATCAAAGACAGTCATTATTATAGAATGATTGTCTTTGTGTGCAACATTCACTTGTGTTGACAACAATAACATGTGATTGTTGTTCATAATGCAACTTTTTTTAGAATCATTTCTGATTCTTCATAAAGTTGGATCAAAGACAGTCATTATTATAGAATGATTGTGTTTGTGTGCAACATTCACTTGTATTGACAACAATAACATGTGATTGTTGTTCATAATGCAACTTTTTTTAGAATCATTTCTGATTCTTCATAAAGTGGAATCAAAGACAGTCATTATTATAGAATGGTTGTGTTTGTGTGCAACATTCACTTGTGTTGACAACAATAACATGTGATTGTTGTTCATAATGCAACTTTTTTTAGAATCATTTCTGATTCTTCATAAAGTTGAATCAAAGACAGTCATTATTATAGAATGGTTGTCTTTGTGTGCAACATTCACTTGTGTTGACAACAATAACATGTGATTGTTGTTCATAATGCAACTTTTTTTAGAATCATTTCTGATTCTTCATAAAGTTGGATCAAAGACAGTCATTATTATAGAATGATTGTCTTTGTTCGCAATAATCACGTGTTATTCATGTATATACACGTGATTGTTGCAGATAATGCAACTTTTTTAGAATCATTTCTGATTCTTCATAAAGTTGAATCAAAGACAGTCATTATTATAGAATGATTGTCTTTGTGTGCAATAATCACGTGTTATTCATGTATATACACGTGATTGTTGCAGATAATGCAACTTTTTTTAGAATCATTTCTGATTCTTCATAAAGTTGAATCAAAGACAGTCATTATTATAGAATGGTTGTCTTTGTGTGCAACATTCACTTGTATCGACAACAATAACATGTGATTGTTGTTCATAATGCAACTTTTTTTAGAATCATTTCTGATTCTTCATAA